TCTTGGAAATCGAGCCAAAGTCAGTGTCAAAATCACGCTGCGCGTAGCCCGGTCTCGTCGACTTTCTAGTTACTAAGTCGCTACATTTCGGTCAGACTGTTCATAAGCAAGCGTTCAAAAATTTTTCCTCTGTCCAATCCACTAAAAATCAAAGTCTTCTCGAATTAGTTTAGAGTCCCTGGGACTCGAAAATATCGCACATGTTCCTGGAAATCGACCTAAAGTTGGTCAAAATCACGCTGCGCGTAGCCCGGTCTCGGCGACTTTCTAGTCACTAAGTGAGTTAAGGAGGGGCGATATTTCGGCCAGACTGCTCATGACCAAACGTTGAAAGATTTTTGCTCTGTCTATTTAACTGGAAACCAAAGTCTTCTCGAATTAGTTTAGAGTCCCTTGGACTCAAAATATCGCCCAAAAACCTGGAAATCAACCCAAAGCTGGTTAAAATCACGCTGCGCGTAGCCCGGTCTCGGAGACTTTCTACTCACTAAGTAGCTATATTTCGGCCAAACTGCTCATAACCAAGCGTTCAAAAAGTTTTCCTTTGTCTAATTCACTGAAAAGCAAACTCTTCTTGAATTAGCTTAGAGTCCCTGGAACTCGGAAATATCGCCCAAGTTCTTGGAAATTGAGCTAGAAATCACGCTGCGCGTAGCCCGGTCTTGGCGACTTTGAGCACTGTCAAATCGATAAACTTCCACAAGTGAAATACACGTGTGTAGATTTGAGGAAGGGCTAAAAGTAGCATCTTTAAAAGGTTAGGTAAGCATTGGTGGTGATCCCCGCACCTAAAACGCAATTGTAGCTCATCCCTAAACGCGCGAGAACTTACGAGAGAAAGGAAAATTGATATGGGCGAGAATCTCCAACCCAAACACTGTCCAACACTGTCGATAGTTTTCCACAAGTGAAATACATGTGTGTAGATTTGAGAAAGGTCCAAATCTAGCATCTTCAAAAAGTCCAGTAAGCATAGTTTGAGATGCCGACCAAAAAAAAGTGTGGTGCATCTCATCTATGAGAGAAAAACATTAAAATAGGCGAGAATCTCCAACCCAAGCATTGTCCAAAGCGACAGACTACCACAAACAAAATCCACGTGTGTAGATTTGAGAACGAGCTAAATTTAGCATCTTTAAAAAGGCCAGTAAGCATAGTTTGAGATCCAGAAAGCAAAACCGCCAGTGGAGCGCATATCTAAACGCGCGAGAGCTTACTAGAGACGATAAAGCTAATATGGGCAAGAATCTCACACACAAGCACTGTCCAAATCGATAGACTTTCACAAGTGAAATACACGTATGTAGATTTGGGGGAAGGCTAAAAATAGAATCTTTAAAGAGTTAGGTGAGCATTGGTTGGGATTCTCGCATCTAAAACGCGAGTGTCGCGCATCTTTTAATGTGCGAGAACTTGCAAGAGAAAAGAAAGTTGATATGGGCGAGAATCTCCAACCCAAACACTGTCCAAATCGATAGACGTCCACAAGTTAAATGCACGTGTGTAGATTTGAGAGCGGCATCTTTAAAAAGTTAGGTAAGCACTGGCTGGGATACCCGCACCTAAAACGCGCGTGTTGCGCATCTCTTAACTTACGAGAGAAAAGAAAATTAATATGGGCGAGAGTCTCCAACCTAAACACTGTCCAAATCGAAAACACGCGAGTGAAAAAAAGATATAAATGGGCGAAAATCTTTAACCCAGTCATTGTCCAAGCGACAGACTTTCACAAGTAAAATACACGTGTGTAGATTTGAGAAAGGGCCAAATCTAGCATCTTTAAAAGGTCCAGTAAACAACGTTTAAGATCCCGACACCAAAACTGCGGGTGTGGCGCATCTCTAAACGTTCGAGAATTTACTAGCGAAAAGAAAGTTGATATAGGCGAGAATTTCTTACCCAAGTACTGTCCAAATCAATAGACTTCCACAAGTGAAACACACGTGTGTAGATTTGGAAGAGGGCTAAAAGTAGCATCTTTAAAAAGTTAGGTAAGCATTGGCTGGGATACCCGCACCTTAAATGCGAGTGTGGCGCATGTCTAAACGCGGGGAAAACACGCGAGAAAAAAAAAAATGGGCGAGAATCTCCAACTCAAGGATTCTTTAAAGCGACAGACTTCCCCAAGTGAAACACACGTGTGTACATTTGAGAAAGAGCCAAATCTAGTATCTTTAAAAGTCCAGTTAGCATAGTTTTAAATCCCAAAACCAAAACAGGGAGTGTGGTGCATCTCTAAACGCGCGAGAACTTACTAGAGAAAAGAAATTGATAGGGGCGAGAATCTCATACCCAAGCACTGTCCAAATCGATACACTTCAACAAGTGAAATACAGTTGTGTAGATTTAGGGGAGGGCTAAAAGTAGTATCTTTAGAAAGTTAGGTAAGCATTGGTTGGGATTTCCGCACCTAAAATACGAGTTTGGCGCATCTCTAAACGCGCGACAATTTACTAGCGAAAAGAAAGTTGATATGAGGCGAGAATCTCCAACCCAAACACTGTCCAAATCGATAGATTTCCACAAGTTAAATACACGTGTGTAGATTTGGGGGAACGCTAAAAGTAGCATCTTTGAAAAGTTAGGTAAGCATTGGTTGGGATCCCGCAACTAAAACGCGAGTGTGGCGCATCTCTAAACGCGCGAGAACTTGCGAGAGAAAAGAAAGTTGATATGGGCGAGAATCTCCAACCCAAACACTGTCTAAATCGATAGACTTCCACAAGTGAAATTTACGTGTGTAGATTTGAGAAAGGGCCAAATCTAGCATCTTTAAAAGGTCCAGCAATTATAGTTTGAGATGCCGACACCGAAATCGCAAGTGTGGCGGATCTCTAAACGCGCGAAAAGACGGAGAGAAAAAAAATATAAATGGGCGAGAATCTCCAACCCAAGCATTGTCCAAAGCGACAGACTTCTACAAGTGAAATACATGTGTGTAGATTTGAGAACGGGCCAAATCTAGCAAGTCTGGTAACAATAGTTTAAGATATCGACACCAAAACCGCGAGTGTGGCGCATCTTTAAAGGTGCGAGAATTTACAAGAGAAAAGACAGTTGATAATGGAGAGAATCTCTTACCCAAGCACTGTCAAAATTGATACACCTCCACAAAGGAAATACACTTGTGTAGATTTGGGGGAGGGCTAACAGTAGCATCTTTAAAAAGTTAGGTAAGCATTGGTTGAGATTCCCGCACCTAAAACGCGAGTGTGGCACATCTTTAGGAGCGAGAACTTACAAGAGAAAAGAAAGTTGATAGGGACGAGAATCTCTCACCCAAGCACTGTCCAAATCGATAGATTTTTACAAGTGAACTACACTTGTGTAGATTTGGGGGAGGGCTAGAAGTAGCATTTTTAAAAAGTGAGGTAAGCATTGGTTCGGATTTTCGCACCTAAAACGCGAATGAGGCGCATCTCTAAACGCGCGAGAATTTACAAGAGAAAAGAAAGTTAATAGGGGCGAGAATCTCTCACCCAAGCACTGTCCAAATCGATAGACTTCCACAAGTGAAATACACGTGTGTAGGTTTGGGGGAGGGCTAAAATTAGCATCTTTTAAAGGTTAGATAAGCATTGGTTGGGTTCCTCACACGTAAAACGCGAGTGTGGCGTATCTCTCTATGCGTGAGAAGTTGCGAGAGAAAAGAAAGTTGATATGGGCGAGAATCTCCAACCCAAAGACTGTGCAAATCGATAGTTTTCCACAAGTGCAATACACATGTGTAGATTTTGGGAAGGTTAAAGTAGCATCTTTAAAAAGTTAGGTAAGCATTGGTTGGGATCCCTGCACCTAAAACGCGAGTGTGGCGCATCTCTAAACGCGCTATAACTTACGAGAGAAGAGAAAGTTGATATGGGCGAGAATCTCTCACCCCATGAGGGGACGCAAATGAGTTCTACTTAAAGTTTATCTTCCCGGTGTTTTCATTTTATTATTATTATTCTATTGGGACAGGCTGTATTCCTCTAAGGCTGTGGGTGTAATTTGTAAAAACACTGAGTTCCTATAACTCGTTTAGAAATTCTTCGTTCCAGTTCAAATTTATGTTGCTGGCACATGGGTGGTCACTTCATATGTAGACCATGATGTAAGAAACCTTAAACAATTTTTACTGTTCTTGATGCAGTGCTACGTTAGTCTGCTTTATAAATATTTAACTGCTCTGGTCGAGTTTTTAATTTTAACATGATGAAACGTTCTATTTATAAGTTAAAAATGATGCAAAGTTGTCAATTTTAGTAATTTCAATTTGAAGAAAAGGTCCGGTTAGTACCTTCTTGTTACTTGATGAAAATTTTGCGGGGTTTGTTTTACCGGGGCGCTTCATGACGCCTCCTGGAATAAGCTATACCTTCCCTAGTTGAGACAATGGTCCTTCAAAAACTCTGGGTCTCGCAAAATTTTAGTCGAATTTCCCGGGTCTCGCAGTTTCGTTTTTTTAGCGGTTATGTGCGTCTCGCAGTCTCGATTTTTATACGAAGCTCTCTCGGAGTCTCGACTTTTTGCAAGGTTAAGGGTTTCGAAGTTCCGATTCGTTTGTTTGTTTTAATAAATGACGTCTTCTCGTCACTTGATATTGAATTTCAATAAAGCAACTTTTAAATTTCCGCGAAAAAGTTAATCCTAACTTCTGCCAAACTGTCTGAATTCCACAAAAAGCTACAAATCTTACCGCAACGTCATTTTGGTGCCAAAAAACAGTTATTTTGTTCTAGGATATCCTAACGTAGCGTGTTATAGTCGAATTTCCCGTTCCAGCTTGTTCGCAAAGGCTGGCTAAAAGGGTTTCATATTCCATCGGCCCTTTCTGGTTTATTTTTTATTTAATATCATCGACATGTCACTGAAACAGATTAGGACGCCTTCCCTGGCCGTAAGACGAAGAACCCTAGTGAGAGTATGTAAGTAATGCTAGGAAAATTTCCAACCATTTCTCTACGGTACTTACAGTAGAAGCCCCGTGCGTCCCGTCATGATATCATACCACTTGGCGGGGCGTAGAGCTAGCCAAAGCACCTCAAGACCTGACTGTCTTACAGCAACTTCTATGGGACCTTAAGCCTGCCACTATATTTGAGATAGGATCGTACGCTGCAGGTAGTGCTCTGTGGGTCTCAGATGTTATGAAGATGTACGGCTTCAAAACCCATATCTACTCTTTGGATATCGACTTGTGCTTAGTTAGGGAATTGGCGAAGGGAGATGAAAACATATCTTTCATTGAGGGCAATGCCAGTGAGATTCAGAACGCTTTTTCTGACCGTCTTCTCAAGGTAAACAACACCAAAATCTATTTGTATGTTTCATGTTGGCGCGATCACAAACTGTCAATATAACCAACGGGCTAAAAAGAACTAAAGTTTGCTTTGCTGCAAATAGATCGTGTGTGTCCTGTGGCTCCGATTGGATAAAACCGTCTGGTTGTCTTCACATAGATTTAAGGCGGAAGTATAACCTTGCTTATTTATTTAATTTTTTCAGGCTTGCCCCCATCCTTGGCTTCTTTAAGAAGATGAGCACCACCATATGAACATAACCCTGGACTATTTTGACAAGTTCTTACTTAGCGGTGACTGTTTGTGTAGAAGACGCAACACCTCACTGTGCAACTGATACTGGAATGGGTTTACTTGAGGATATGGGTTATGAAACTTGGGGAGATGTAAAGCTCAATGCTATGAAAGAGTTTATTTCCAAGCACTCTAATCGATACATGGTAGATACGTACTACAATGACTTTTTTGGGTAAGTGCTTCTCTAAATTTCTTTCATTTTCAGAACAGAATGGTTTTGTCTACGGTCTCTTTTTCCTTGAATCAAGCATTCAACCAACCAACCAACCAACTTTTCAATCTATAAATCAATCAATCAATCAATCAATCAATCAATCAATCAGTAGTCAGTCAGTCAGTCAGTCAAACGATCCAACAATCTTTCCGTTTCTTCCTATCGTTCTTTTATTTTTTGCTAGAAATTGCAAGCAACATAAAATTCGCAATGTTTGGAGAGTGTATGGAGTCCAAAGCATGATATGGACTCGACAAATAATACTACGATTATCACTAAATGTTAACAGATAGCTGCAACAGTGTATGCCCAACAAGAAGAACCATTAAAAAAAAAACACATTTGTTTTAGTTTTTAATTTTAGTTAGCTTACCGCATAGGTTTTTGTCCTTTTTATTGTATTTTAGATTTTAATGTATTTTAAAGGTTTAATATTTTCTCAGAGGGCCCTCCTGAAAACCACCTCTTGGTGATTGGAGGCCTCCTCTTAAAATATTATGTATTATTATTATTATTATTATAATTATTATTATTAACGATTTGACAGTTATATTTTTGAAAGGGTGAACATTTGTTTATTGTGACTTTTCAAAGTGCTTTTTCGCATCCAGTTCTCGTCAGCACCCCGTAAAATTCTCCTTGTTTTCTCTTTGTTTTCTAGATACAATGCATCGTACAACTGGAATGGCTACTGGAAGCGAGTATAACATCCCTTTGAGGAGTTTAATGGAATCTCATCTAGCTTTAGGTTTTTGATCACTAGATATTAGTCTTGTATATTTTTGTTGCTCCATAGCAAAATATTTTTTCCTTGGTGTTGCTATCGGGTTGTTGTTGTTGCTTTTCAAATAAGGTAAATGAATTATGACCTGTGTCCACTTGTGTTCTCTTCTGGTACTTTTCTGACCTCTTTCGGTTCCACCTGAAAAATATAATGCCTTCGTCACCAAATACATGTATCGTACTATAACCTGATTTCTCAATTTCTCTTGCATCAAGGAAACCCAAAAGCACTTGATTGCTACGCTTACCCGCTTTGATGACGAGTTGGCAGCTTCAATGGTGGAACCAGACCCGGTTGGAATTGTGTTGCCGTCTTCATTTCTCAAAAACAATATCTGTAGTAAATCCAAGAGACAAAGCAATGCAAGAAGCGTTAAAACTCAAACAAATTTTGTAATTTGATATAAAAATTGTTCGTTTCTTTACATCTCTTCCAACATAGTTTTCCCGCTTTTTGTGCAATGTTTTTGCGACGTATTTTGCAGGTCGGAGGCGCCTGACAGATTATCATTGCCGTGTTGCTTTCCTAAGCTTCATTTGTTTAATGGTACATCTTCTACACATAGAGACAGTAGGGCCATAGTTTTCTGCGCTAAGTGCAGCAAAGATTAGCATGAACTGAGCAACTTAGGACTTTTGCTACTCAGGACAGTACAACAGTACAACAGGACATTACAACATTGATGAGAATTAAACCGGGCCTTTCAGTCACATTTAATCCGGAACCAATGTATCTGCAGCTCCAGCGCACCTCCTTATGTTAAAGCGTAAACTACTTTCTTCTTTCCGATAAAAAGTATTTCGTTTCAGTATATGATCTTCCTGGTGAGGGTAAATTAAAGAAAAAAAAATTGTTACTGACGTTTCCACAACCTGAGCAGAAGTCTTCGTCAGTGTCATGTTAGTATCGTACCCACCAAAGGGATTAGGGGGCAAGGATATGACAAAGGTTACAACTGAAGTAAAATAACGACGATCGAGGATACCAGGCTTTCAAAGTAATCCAACACCCCAACCCTTTTACTTTTGTTTTCATACTTTCACTCACCTTCGGAACAAAAACGAAACAGAGTGTAAACGTGGTGCAAAATATCGTGAGGAATGATGTTAGAGCAAACTGGACTGTGGGTTGGTCAAAGACAATACCGAGGATAGGAATCACAAGAATACAGGGAATAATGACGTTGTAAACCGATAAACCAATCAACTTGCTGTCATTCAGTGCAGAAATATGCACTTTACGAGTTTCCCATGCCAAATAAGCGCCGAATACTAACAACAGACCTGTGAGGTAAACAGTAAAAAGATATTTAGTCATTTACGTCAGAGTAACACGAAGAAAAGTTTCACATTCTAGTACAAATAATTAATCAGGTAATTTTTTTCATGTATTCACTGCATCTTTACTGAAAGTGACCTTAACAAGATTTGCTTTCGTTTCCAGCTACCTTACAATATTACATACTGTTCAAATTTTATCGCAGAGCAACATCTTTCTGACCAAAACCATGCGAAGGTGCATGCGCTACAATAACGTTCAAACGAGATAAATAAATCCATTCCATGTTTTCAACTCCCACCGCCAGTGTTGAGAAGAAGAGAATGGTCCAACGAAGTAAACTTTAGTAGCTTTAACACGTACTAACTAAAGATGGCCGCCAATCTCAAAACAAGAGCCAGTGCCATTCCAGTGCATATACATAAGACGATGCCGCAGGCACTGCCTGCTGGCGCACACATTTTCTATCAATTTCAGTTTTACCTTTGTATCCATACATGCAGGCCTGCCATATTGTCATATGTTTGCAGCTGCACATTGTGACATAGGGCTGTATTCCAGTGTCATCTTCAATTGACACCTTCATAACAAAAAAAGAAAGCAGTTTAAAGGAGGTTCAAAATTCGATAGAATGGTTTAAGGTCCTAGTCCACATTGAAAAACCTCCTTTTAGTCACTCGGATGAAACTGTTACCTGTGAGCTCTTAGCTGAAAAAATAGCGAGACTATCAGCTTTATCCGAACAGTATCGTGCGTGATATAAATTTCCTGGCCAGTTGGAATTCTACAGTGAAAGCGGCATAAGTAAGTTTACCTTCAGCGTCATATATTCGGTTTTACTTGTCAATGGATCGACCAACTGCCACGTAAGGAGAATTATGAAGTCAATCAACAGAAGAGCAGCAACCATACCAAACAACTGGCGGTCCCTGATGATAACCTAAAGTATTAAAGTATAACTCAGCAATACACTTAAAGACTAAATAAATAGTTTCGTAAAGTAATGTCTTTCTCTCATGTCTGTCTGTCCGTTCGTCTGAAGTCTGTCAGTCTGTCCGTCTGTCGGTCTCGTTCTATCAGTCTGTCGGTCTGTCAGTCAATCAGTCTGTCACTCTGTCAGCCCGTCAGTCAGTCTGTCTGTCTGTCTTTCTATCTGTAACATTATGTAGTATTTAACCGTACCAGTTTTATATACAAATTTAAATGAGTCAATTTGATGTTTCAGTTTTGGATACAATCTGTCTTTAGACTGAGACAAAAGGTAGTCTAAGACAGTCGCTTCGCAAAACAATCAGTATATGAGCCAAGATACAGCAAAAACCAAGTAACTCGTGGAATAAACGGTGGTAAAAACTAAATAACTTCAAATCCAATAATACCATCATTGGCCGCCATTTTGGATTTGAAGGCTGGATACGAGTTTATCACAAATGGTTTTTAATGTCAGTAATAGAAGAGAACCTAGCACTTGTAATTACCCTTTTCGTATTGTTAGTATTTAGAAATATCACGTGAACTCTCCAGGTCTTGCTGAACATTGCTCCAAAACCCAGACTAAATCCAATGGCCACAATCCATAATTCCAGCTAAAGAAGCAAATCAAAGCAATAATGATAAATCCGTGAATATTACAAAAACAAAACAACAACAAAAACAAAAAACAAAAAAAAAACACAATTCAAAAAGTGTCACTTCTTGTAAAAGAACATCCTAGTGAACTTAATAGAGCATCACCTTACGCAAACTTTCTCAATTCACTTGCAAAAATTTATTTTGTAATTTTGCTATCTTTGGTGCCTTACAATTTCGTGACTGTTCATTTTTTTAATTATTCGTTTTAATTGATTGTTTGGTTTTTGAATGCAAAAGGCAAAAACGATAGTAACATGTAAGTACAACATAATTCTCTTACGAGCAAACTCATAGACAAAAAGGGAACTCTGCAAGCGGTCATATGCGTGGATTTATGAAATAACTGATTGGTAAATACCTGGCATAAAATGCTATCGCCCTCCTTTTTCAAACCAAACAGTATACCCGCGATGTAAACAAGTATGCAACCGATTATAATCAAGTTGTTTAGGTTAGGTGACGACATTTTGATATATCTGTGGATAAAAAAGAATAAATTTTTCTAATGACTTACACGTCTCTTTAAACATCTTAGTTAAAACAACTTGAAAAATACTATTGCACTTTCCACTGCTAACTTTTAGTCTTATAATTGCGTAAGGGGAATAAAAGTACTGAGCTATAAAATTCAAAAATGAATGAAACAATTGTGAGCTTTCCCTGTTTAAAATTAATAGTTTGTCTTCATAATCGTAACTATGACTATGATTTCCAAGCATGATCATCTGAGACTATTTGAAAATTAGTCGTAGAGAAAGCATATTGTAAAGATAAACCACATGCATGTGCTAATACATTTTACCTAATATTCTGATTGTAGATATTGAATGTGAGAAAACCGATGGCCATCAGAATGCCAAGACTAGAAACAGCGAAGACAAACCAAAGTATCGCTGAATGGACTCCTTCAAACTTTTCTTGTATTCTCAGTCCATCGACGGGAACTTTGCCACCTTGAAAACGAAATGAAAAATAATTAACAATTAGACCCGTAGCCCG